TGCTTGAGACCAGGGAGTGTCGCACATGCCGAGTGGGCAGGGGTCTCTGCTGACCCACATCCAAGCACAGATACTGGTGGTTTCCTTCCCAGTGCTCCCTCTGCAGACCAGCGGGGCTCAGCTGCCATCACAGTGACTCTTCCTCCTGCTTTCTAGGTCCCCCAGGCCAGGTGGAGCACGCAGATGTCATAGGGGAGAAGGGAGACCCAGGAGCACCGGGGTACCCTGGGAAGATTGGCCCCCCTGGTCTCCCGGGCTCAAAGGGACTCCCAGGTATCATGGGACTCCCTGGCCCTCAGGGGGACCCTGGTGACTACAAGGCCACCCTCAAGTCTGCCTTCTCTGCTGCTCGGACCATCAGCTCCTACCCACGCCGGGAGCAGCCCATCCGCTTCAACCACATCATCACCAACGAGAAGGGCCACTACGAGAACCGATACGGCCGCTTCATCTGCCGGGTCCCGGGCATCTACTACCTCACCTACCACGTCACCTCCAGGGGCAATCTGTGCCTCAGGATGAAAAAGGGCCAGGGTGGCAGCAGAGGCGAGAAGGTGGTGACCTTCTGCGACTATGTGCACAGCAGTTACCAGGTCACCACGGGTGGGGTGGTCCTCAAGCTGGCAGTGAACGAGTCCGTCTGGCTGGAGCCAACGGAGAAGAACTCCCTGATGGGGATCGAAGGGTCCGACAGCATCTTCTCTGGCTTTCTGATCTTCCCCGAGGCTTAACCCACCGACGGTGTCTCTCTGCAGCCCTTCCCCTGCTGCTGGCTGGTCCCTGCAGGGCTGAGGACTCCCCTGGAAGTGACTCTTCACTCCAGATTTGGTGCCCTAAGCCCATTGCTACCTGTCTTGCACATTAAATGACAGCTCCTTGTGCTGCTGGTTCTTTCCTGTCTAGGATTTGCCTCCATCCCCCCAGATAATGCTCAGACACCCAGAGCATTACCTCCTCTACTCCCAGGTGCAGCCTGGGCATTTCAGCATCTCATCATTGCTGAGCAGAGCCAGGCAATTCAGGCAGCTCCTGCTGCAGACCACGCTGAGTATCTCCTTCCAGACCCACCCAGAGAAAGTCCCAGGAAAACACAGAGAGGAAGCCTGGTCTCTAGTAGGGGGCAGGACACATGGCATAGTGGGAAAATTGGGGCCACTGGGTACTGGTGGTAGACCAGGAGATGCTGGAGATGGTGCTGTACTGGAGAGCCCTGAGGCTGATAGGATCTGGGGGACAACAAACTCTCTTAGACTTTTCTGGGGGGTGAGGGGGTGGTGGTGACAATAATATCCCCAGAAGCTTGTCAGAGCTTGTGGAAAGATGAGCCATATGTATGTGAGGAAGCCAGAGCTTGTTGCCATGAGGGAAGAGGTGTGGGGCACATGGCTATCCCCTGGCACAGCTGAGCAGGGTCCAGAGCAGCCCCATAATCCAAGGAGACGACTGACACGTGCAAGACCTCTAACACAGCTCAGCCCACCTGGAGGTCCAAGGGCCCAAGGACCTCCAAGATGAGTAAGAGTTGAGGACCCCAAGCATGTCCCTGTCCCAGAGGCAGGTGACAATCCAGCATTGTGCCTGGGTGGGTGGGTTGCCTGCAGCCACCAGCCCAGCCATGGCAGCTGCTGGGTGTGAAGCCCATAGCGGTGTACACGGGGCACTCCAGACCTAGAAGAGGAGAATTTTTGTGGGAGTCTGGGATTTGAAAGGGGCTGGATGAAGGGGACGGTGATAAAGGGTCTTGTGAGTGTGTGGAGGGGTGGGATATGGACTGGCTTTTACAGAGCATCGCCACTGAGCTCTCGGAATCTGCTTGTGGGTCCAGGGCCCCACAGCTCTGGGCTGCACATATCTCCCTGCCCCAGCGCAGGACAGTGACCAGCACCGGTGCAACCAGCTTGAAGGCTCCGGCTCCTCTCCGGGACAATTTGCCGGCAGGTGGCACCGGAGGCTGGATCAGCCCTCACCTCCCAGCGGGAGCATCCCTGTCCCACAGGCTGGGAGGGCAAAGCTTGCAGGGACCCAGCAGAAGTGTGAGGCTCAGCTCTGCCTTGCCTGTAAAGTCTGGGAGGAGGCACCAGGCAGGATTAGTGCCTCGTCCTCAGCACCCCAGCACCACTTTGTTCTTCCCCCAGCGAAATCTGTGGCTTCTGTCTCCCCAGATCTCAACCTCCTACCAGAAAGTCGCGGCAGAGGGATGTTAGATGTTGTATCCTAAAGCTCGCCCTGTGCAGGAGCACTGGGCTGCTTTCAGAATGCAGCCACAACGCTCATGCCATTTTGCAGCTGGAGACACAGCATCCCAAATAAAATTGGCTCAGCAGGACAGGTGGAGGAAAAGGGTAGGTATCTGAGCCCCAAAACAGAGGCTGGGCAGCATACGCCAGCTGAGTCTCCTGAATCCTCAGCAGGTCTGCAGAAGACACCAAACCAAGGAGCAGTCGATACACTGGAGGAAAGGGCTGCCATTCAAAGAGCCTTGACAGGCTTGAGAAATGAGCTGGCAGGAACCTACTGACATTTAATAGAGGCAAATGCAAAGTCCTTCCTCTGGCACGGGATAACCCCATGCGATAGGACAAGCAGGACGAAGCTTTGCAGGAAGGAATCTGGGATGCTGGTGGACAGCAAGTTGAAGCTTTCTGCTTTTCTGAGTAATTGATATAATCTTTTTAGACTTTTGAAAAGGTCTTTGTCAGGCCCCCTCTGGAGCAGAGATGGTTTTATTTTTAAAACTAATGTCTGACCTAACGCCAGCACAAGGCAGAGGGTTTCTAGGGTCTTGACTGTACCTGGAGGGAGTCAGAGGGCAGTGGAGGTACCAATGGTGTGTAAAGTGCAGCTCAAGGTGCTTGTGCAGCCAGAAAACAGATGTGCACAGGGCAATGCTCCATCCCACGGGTCTCAGCCAGCGCCCGGCAATGACATCTCAGGCATTAGCTCCATGGGACGGCAGCTGTTTGCTCCCCTGAAGCTGCCACTGCATGAGCCACGGAGCAGCACATCCCTCAGGTATCCAAAATGGATTCGGGGCCAGGGGGCCATGAGCAGCTGGAGAGGGTGGTGGTCCATGTAACATCACCCTTAAGTCCTTCCAGGGCTGCTCAGCACAGGCAGTGGATTTCTGACCCTGCAGGAAGCCAGAAAGCCCCAGATCTCCACCCCAGGGCAGCTGCAGAGGACCCCCCTCCTCCCAAGCTATTACAGCACTCGCTTAGGCCAGAGCCAAAATGCAGATGCCTCCTTCCACGGGACCTTCCACAGGGCAGCAAACCTTCTGCAAGATTTTCAGTGGTGCTCAGGACCGTAGCAAGAAAGGTTAAACCGATCCGGGTAGCTGGGTCGCGCTGCCAGCCACGTGCCACCTGCTTGATGTTACCCAGGAAAGGCTGGATGCTACAGCCCTGCTCTCAAACCTCCCTCGCCTGCACGGGGATACCTAATTAATTATTTCCTGTGAAACAAAGCACTCGTGGCACAACAGAACAATTACCAGGAGACTTGGAGAGAAACCTGTTGCAGGGTCAGGTGCAGCCTGATGGTAAGGACGCTGGAGAGGGGAAGCTCCACATCCACTGTCTCTCAGGGAAACGACCAATTTGCATCTTTAATTAATTCTTTACATCTTACCCATGAGAACCTGACACCCACCAAATTTTAACCTGGCCACATCTGCACCCATTGAATAGATTTGCAGGTTTTGTTCTCACCTGGGACCTGACAGAGGTGTCCCAGTGCTCTTTGCACGCTTGCTCTGCCCGGCGTGTGCTCTCTTTGTGCTCATTCACACCAGTCTGTGCACGCTCACACTGTGCACGTGTGCACACTCACCCTGCTCAGCGCATGCACTCACTGCTCTGGGCACGCTCGCACTGCTCTGTGCACACTCACACTGTGCACCTGTGTACACTGACCCTGCCCAGCGCATGCACTCACTGCTCTGTGCACGCTCGCACTGCTCTGTGCACACTCACACTGTGCACCTGTGCAAACTGACCCTGCTCAGTGCACGCACTCACTGCTCTGTGCACACCCACACTGTGCACCCACGCACACTGACCCTGCCCAGTGCACACACTCACTGCTCTGTGCACGCTCGCACTGGGCACACGTGCACGTTCACTCACGCACTCACTGCTCTGTGCACACCCACACTGTGCACCCACGCACACTGACCCTGCCCAGTGCACACACTCACTGCTCTGTGCACGCTCGCACTGGGCACACGTGCACGTTCACTGCTCTGTGCACGCACTCGCTGCTCTCTGTGCACTCACACACGCACACTCGGTGTGTGCTCACTCTGCTCTGTGTGTGCTCTCTGCAGATCTGCCCTGACACGGGTCTCCTGCTCGTCTTCTCTCCCTTTTGGTTTTTCTTTTTATTTGAGTGGCGCCACAGGTGAAACTGGAGCAGCAGCACCTTCTCGGGGCCAAGCCCGAGCTAAGCCGAAGAGCTTCACCAGGTGGTGCTGTGACCCTTGTCTGTGGAATCTGGCTTCCACCAAAGCTGGGATGTGCCCAGACAGAGGCCACCAGATGCTCAGCAGGTGCTCTGGTAGAAGCTGAGGTGGGTGGTGTTTCGAGCTGGCTTCAGAGCAGGAGTTTTAGGGTCGTAAGTGTTTTGCCAAGCTGCAGCTAAGCGGCCATGGGGTGTTCTGGGGGTCGTGCGGGCTTAGTGCGCTGAGCAGGATGGAGAGCTCACCTGGAGCACAGACGTGTCACCCAGTCACTCTGCCCTGTCACGTACCCCATGAAGGTGTTCAGTGACATCAAAAAGGAGCAGGTGAGAAGGTCCCTCTCAGGGAACTCCCTGCGACCAGGCACTGGTTTGGTCCAAAACTCCATCAGAGCAAATTCACTGATGTGCAAAGACATGGGTAGAGAGCTGATGGGATTTTAAAATGAAGTCTTCCTATTTCAAGGCATGTAGTGACAGGTATCAGCAAGAATATCACATGGAGGTTTCCCTTGCATCGTCTCGCTGGGGTTTGGGGAGTTTTGTCTTTGCCAAAGCTCCAGCCCAGGCATAAGCAGGATGCTGGCAGGATCTGATGCAGCAGAACACACTAAGTGCCTATCAATATTCACAGAAAGTGAAGCTGCACTGGAGAGATAACAGCATGGTCATGCGTTAGTCAGTAAGACTGAGTCAGGGACGTCTGTCTCATGGCCTGGTCTAACACCACTAGCAAATGCCATGGCACTTTCAAAGGTGTTGATCCATTTACGCTGAACGCAGTCAGTCCCCAGTACCTGCTACCCAAGGAAGAACCCTTCTGAAACCATCCTTGGCTGGACTTGATCCTTGCTGATAACATCATACAGCCACAGCCGCGCTGCCCGGCAGGGTCTTCTGGAGGCCACATAGTGCAGCATCCCGTGCAAGCCCTGCCTGACACCCGTTCTCTCACGTAGCTCATGGCATTGCTCCAAGACGCAGAGATCCTTTCTCCCTGCCAGGAACTCCCTCCTGAACAGCCTGCGAGCGTTTCCTTCCCAGCACCAAGGCGCAGTTGCTGCTGCCAAACTGGCGGCTGCTCTCCACCTTCTCCTCTGCCCTTGGGCAAGGCTGTGCAGTGAGACATTGCATTTTTTCTGTGTTCTTCCTTCCCTTCCCCAAACTATAATATCAAGCAGGAGGCATATGGGAAACCCTGAACGGGGCCAGTGCTGTGCCACAATGCTGGTATGCTCCGGGCTGAGATGTTCCTGGGGCAGTGCACCCAACT